CTGGGAAGGTATGCATAAATTCAACACCATATTTTTTTTGTCATTCTGAGAATCTGTGGTACGAGCAACATCAAACATGAGCTTTGCAACAACTCAACTCTGAACAATCTGATTTTCTTTTAAAATACATAGGCCAGAGTAAAGTTCTAAATCAAGTCTTTTAGTGAGGATTTAACTAGGTTGTGTTTGAAAATATTAGCCAGTGTGTGGCACTGCTTATTGTATACGTTGGAGGAATGTCCAGGTGTGGGGGCTCTGGGAGGCACAGGAGCAGCCAGTGAGGTTTTCTGTCTTTGTCAGATGCAAGGAATTGCATTCACCAGGCACCTTCTTTAAATGTGTTATGAAAGTGAAACAGTGTTTACTTTCCATTATGAGAAAGTACATTGCTGTGCAGGCTTGGAATTAACTGTTGTCGTTTGATTACATAAAGGATAACACACTGGGATATGAGTATAATCATCCCAGTTATTCTCCTGGATAAAAAGGGACACCTAATTAATGGCCCCTTATGCATCCCAGCAAAGACAAAAAAAGGAACAGGAATGGCCCTGGGAGTGAGGAGTGCGAAAAGTAAATAATAAAATCTTAGTTTAATTTTCTAGACGATGCATTTGAGGGAGGTGGGAGGGAATCAACTCCAAAGCAGTCATAGCCCTTCATTTCCCCTGACCCTGATCTTTACCCAGAGCATGGCAGAGACAGGAAGATACTGGAACAACGCTGTAAGGAGTACAGCTGCTTTCTTCTGTGTGTTTGCAGAAAAGAAAATCATGTTTTTGTCGTGAACAATTATGTGATTTCAATTTGAATAGGAAACAGACACTCTCTCTTCCACAAGTAGGGATGTGTTGTCACTCAGAAAACCCTCCACTTAATAAGAGGAGGAGAGATTTCTCAGCACAAACTACCAACTTCAGAGGACTGGGGCTGAAGGTGAGGGCATTTGTAGGATCACTTGTCTAGGCCTGCCCACTTGGACATGTGTATATAAGATCTTTATGTACCATCTTATGCAAAGAGCAGACAGAAGCCCCCAAATCTCAGGCTTGAGGAAGCGAGCAGACAATGGCATCATGGCACAGAAGCGCAGGTTAAACTCAAGGTTTCATGAAAGGAAACCAGTTCACACACAAAGCAAGTGTTTGCTCTGTGTCTCATCCGGGAGAGTAACCCATTGTGCTCAGAGACTCACCAAAAGGCCTGTTTCTTTTTTCTCACCTGAGGTTGGTCACCAGATTAGCCCAGGGAGATGGCCGCTGAAAGGAGCAAAGGAAAGAGTGGCCCTTGGGCCCAAGCTAGTTAACATTGGAGTCAATATCTTTCCTTTTAGTGGAGAGTGAAGGATTCTAATAGAGTCATCCTGCAGCCTCTGGGATCCTCAGGTTGGAAGGAGTAGGGGGTTGGTGCTTGTTTCTGTGTCTAGCTGGGAAATTCCTGCTGGTGGGCCAGCAATCCCAAGCTTTTTGATTGTCTCAGCTTCTGGTGGAGGCAGGGAGGTCCACTGCCTGACCGACCCCCCCACCCCCGCCGCCCCCGACCTCAGCCACAATTGCCTCCTAATTGCCATGCAGGCTTGAAATTAACTCTTTTCCTTTGATGGTGGAGGCAGCTTCTGGTGGAGTCAGGGAGGTCTACAGTCTCCTCTCCCCATTGATCTTTTTTATATCAGCCTTCCCCCACTTGGTTTATGAATTTTTTTTTTTTGGAAGAGTGCTTCTTCCTTGGCTTGCTCTGGGTTAGGCTGCTAGAATATTAGATCCTACCTGGATGAATGAATAAAACAGATGTATGCAGTCAACCTCAGGAGGTCAGAGGCTGTGCCTGGCCTGTTGAATATAACAGGCATGAAGTAGAATTACTGAATAAATAAAGGAAAAAAGGAAGGAAAGAAGGAAAGAATGTATTCAGCCTCCTCTAAGGATGGCAGTAAAATGTTCTCTCGTCCATCTCACTCTCATTTGGAGAAGACCCGTTTGTCAAGTGTGTGAGAGTCTCTGCAGGTGAGGGTAAAGAGTCAAAGAGGGTACATATTGTGTACATAATTCTGATCAGTGGCAGGACATTTTACATTCTTTGTCTCTGAGCAGACAATGGCAGTTTAGCACAGAAGCACAGGTTAAACTCAAGGTTAACCCAAACTTAACTGTGAAAGTTGAATGCCACCTCGCCAGAGCCTAGCACAATGGGAGAGCTCTCACTCATTATCCTGCAGCCTTATCAATTCGCTTTCTCCAAATTAAAGGTTGCTGAGAAAATCTGCCATCCATTCACATATATGAAAGGAAAATAATTTTAGGGGCCCCTGAAGAGAAAAGTCAAGCTGGGAACTGCTCAGGGCAAACTGCCTTCCATTCTATTCAAAGTTACTCCCCTGCTCACTGAGATAAATGCGTATCTGATTTCCTCCTTTGGAGAGACTAATCAGAAACTCAAAAGAATGTACCCATTTGTCTTGTATTTACCCACTACCCAGAAGCTGTCTCCCCACTTCTAGTTTGCCCGCCTCTGCCTTTCAAGACTGAACCAATGTTCATCTTACCTATGTTGATTGATGTCTCATGTCTCTCTAAAATGTATAAAACCAAACTGTATGCTCTGACCACCTTGGGCACATGTCTTCAGGATCTCCTGTGGCTGTGTCATGGGCGCGTGTCCTCGACCTTGGCAAAATAAACTTTGCCATCCCCAAAATAAATTAACTGAGACCTGTCTCAGATATTTGGGGTTCACACAAGAAAGTGTCAGTCATACGGCCCTGATGATTATGTTGAAGGAAAGCTGAATTACTGCTTGCCCAGATCACTGCGGTGGCCTCTACTTGCTTAAGGCAAGTCTACATTAGTTGTTCACCATTATGGAGCCATATCTTTAGATGTATCCTGCATTAGGACTCTTCTAGAAGGAAGCTAACACTGCTAGTACTCCAGAGAAGTGCAAACAAGCTTCTGGGTGGCATTCAGCTGAGGAAATGTGAGTTCAGGAATTTCAGATATGAACCTCCATCTCCATCCTACATACATGCAACCATGCATGCACGCAAACACACACGCACACACATAGACCACACATACATTGCACGTGCACAAACGTTGCTCCATTTAAACAAGCATTCTTAATTTATATCTGAAATGTCACTCTCATCTGAAGGAGTGCATGATGATGCTTTTTTGGTTTTAGAGACAGAAGAAACAAGAGGAGAACATAAAAGACATAATCCCGTAAGTGGAGAGGCATTCCACAGAGTAGGAAAACCAACACATATAGGGAGGGGAGGGGTCAGTGAAGAGTCATTTCCACGTGTTTGTCCTGCAGACATCAGAAAATCAGAGCCGTCACACTGCACTCAAAGTGACTAGCCTCAAAATGCAGGACTACTGGCTACATCTCATTTGGAGAAGACACACTTGTCCAAGTGTGTGAGTTTCTGGCAGGTGAGAGTAAACAGGCAAAGAAGGTGCATATTATGTACATAATTCTGATCAGTGGCAGAATAGTTTGCATTCTTTGTCCCTGAGCAGACAATGGCAGTTTAGCACAGAAGTGCAGGTTAAACTCAAGGTTAACTCAAACTTAACTGAGAGTTGAAAGCCACCTGACAGAGCTAGCACAGTAGGAGAGCTCTCCTTCATAAACACAATCCTGCTTCTTCCCACCTCCCGTTCTCCTAATGTATCTATAGGGGAAGGTATTTCTCCAGTTGGTATTCAAATGGAAGCCAACATCAAGTTTGTAGCTATTTATGTGGTCCCTTGCACAAACCCAGGGATTAGGATAAGCCTCAACAAAAGCCACAGGGAAGGAGCATAAAAAAATGATTCTAAACCTCACCTCTGCCCAACTGACACCTGTAAAGCACAATTGTGTTTTAATGATAGCTCTTCGGAATGGCTCAGGTAAATATAACGCCATATGCAAGGCTTTCAGATGGTGGCAAATGCCATCAGTACTTATGATCCCTGTAGGTAGGTTTTCTCTTGCTGTGTTGAAGCTTGAATGGAATATAACTGCACCATTAAGGCTGCCCTAGAAGTACAGAGAGCGGTTGTTGCATAGTTAAGTGAAAAGGCAGCATTTTATGTCTGATAGAGCAGTCATCTTGCAAACAGCAAATTGGTAGAGAGACGCAGGGGAAAGAGATGTAGGGAGAGTAGCCTCAACAGGAGAGAGAGATGGAAGTCGGAAAGTTACTTTTAAATAACATACTGTACTTTATCAAGCTTTTAGAGAAAAAAAATGCAGATTCTTTTCCAGGCTTAGATATAAGGTGCCTATCCCCCACCCTTCTACCCCAGCACCGGCAGGAAAGCCACTATGATCACCACAGCCATTGTTAGTAAGAAGGGGGCAAGTGGACAAAAAATCCACTTTCACTACAGTAAACAAAGCGAGTTTAGCCCGTCACAGTGAATGATGAATGGCTACCTATCACCTTCCTAGGGAGAGAGAAACCGAAGATTGTGTATCAATTTTTATAATTTTAAGGCTGAAAGATAATAACTCTGCAGAAATGGAGCAGAGTATATAAAAACCCCCCCTGAAAATGTGATTACACGTAAAAATCCATAAAAATGTACAAAGTGATAGATGAACCAAAACTAAACAAATGCAGTTTTTTATCCTTTTGGAACTGAGCAGAAATAGCATATGTAGAGAGAATGATTTTATTTTGTATTTTTAAAAGAACTATTTGGAACTTAATTGAATTATATTTCTGGTGGGAATTGAAATTTTCAGATGGAATATTGGATTTTATTTTAAATTGAATTCTATATTGAAGAGATGAAGAATGAACCATCAGTGAAATATTAACAATAAAGTTGACACGTTTCAATAAACAGCTAAAGAAGCTGAGCACAATAGAAGCTAGCATAATTTCTTTCTACACTCTCCTAAACCCCCAAAGGGTCTATATTAACTATTCTTGATAATTTGGATAAGGAAATCATCTTTGGTTGATTTTAATTAAACCCACTTTACATTTATATTTATTTCTAGAGATTCTTAAAACAGATCAAAACTCAATCATTTTCCTGTGGTCATCCTGCTGAATCTACTGTTTCCCTTACACCTTCAACTTCATATTATTAGTGAATCTAGAACAGGTATTGAAATGCATGTCTCATTTTGCAAATTCCTCAGAAGTTACCAAGTTAATCCTGGATTCTACATACTAGGTCTTTCCAATATATATTATTTTTATTAAATTATTTTGTTTGAGTTGCGCCTTCAGGAATTTTATGACGCTCCATTTGGTAAATTTAATCAACATCAATATGTATAATAAAATGTGCTTGCATTTTTTGCATCTAAAAATAATACTAGCCATTTGTTTAATAATTAGGGTTGATGAGAAAAATGCCTTTCTTTTCTCAACTTTGAAAATCTTGTGTCAGAAGTCCTTATAGATCTATTCATAAATTTTTAACTCATATATCAGCTAGTATGGACACCACTTTATAGTTAAATCGAGGTTTGTTTGGTTTTTTTCAATTTCCCTGGAATCTGGGTAAAGTGTATTGTAAATACAGTGCTTTGCTTTCTTCCTTCCTTTCTTTCTTTTTCCTCCCTCCCTCCCTTTCTTTCTTTGTTTCCTTCTCTCTCTTCTCTTCTCTTCTCTTCTCCTCTCCTCTCCTCTTCTCTTCTTTCTTTCTCTCTCTCTCTTCCTTCCTTCCTTTCTTTCTTTCTCTTTCTTTCTTTCTTTCTTTCTTTCTCTTTCTTTTCTCTCTCTTTCCTTTCTTTCTTTCTTCCTTCCTTCCCTCCCTCCCTCCCTCCCTCCCTCCCTCCCTCCCTCCCTCCCTCCCTTCCTTCCTTCCTTCCTTCCTTCCTTCCTTCCTTCCTTCCTTCCTTCTTTCCTTCCTTCACAGAATCTCACTTTGTCACTACTCAGGTCATTCAGGCTGGAGTGCGGTGGTGCAATCATGGCTCACTGCAACCTTGAACTCCTGGGCTCAAGCAATCCTCCTGCCTCATCCTCCCAACTAGTTAGGACTACAGGTATGTGCCACCATGCCTAGCTAATTTACAAAAACTTTTTTTTTTGAGAGAGAGACAGGGTCTTGCTGTGTTGCCCTGGCTGGTGTCAAACTCCTGGGCTCAAGCAAGCCTTGTTGCCTCTGCTTCCCAAAGTGCTGGGATTATAGGCATGAGCCACTGTACCTGGCTAATCATTTTAGTACAAAATTTCAGCACATTATTTACATCAAATAGATTTAGGGCAAATACAGAGACTAAGCATCATCCCAATGAAAGCTGTATTTTTAGATGTCTGTAAGGAAGAGCAATGTGCCACCTTCCCACATCAACTTTGCTTACAGGAAACTGTTTCCTCCACAACCCCAGAAGGAAGGCTGGACAAAGGGGCAAAGGTCTGAAAACTGGCAAGGACTCAGAGAAGGGACAAGGAGAACCAGATAGGGATGGCGGGTTAGAGAAATGAATTCCAGAGCAAAGAGGAGGTACAGAGATGAATAGGCCTTTGGTTTATTTACTTTAATAAATAAAAGTAATTCAATAAATAAAACTAATTCAACTAATTTCTTTAATATATGATGACTCTAAAACCTTGGTTAAAAACCCACTCAGGTTGTATAAACTTCCACCCTTCAGCGGCCCCAATTTCGAATAGGAGACCCTTGGTAGGAGCTAACAATATGCTCGGGGCACTGATGTGCCTGTTATCAACAGTATGAACCGCAATTCATCTTACTAAATGCCTTGGACAGAATCCAGCTTGAGACTCAGAAAGCACTTTGGGATAAAAGATGTTGTCACTAAAGAAACCCTGTTTGCTTATCAAAGCACAGGCAACCAATTAATAGTTTTATCACTAATACTATTACCCCGAGGGCTAAAATTAGGTTTATTTATTTATTTAAAGTTCAACATCCTAAATTCCACTCTAATACACAACAAGGTACGGCTCGTATTACAAATGAATAACTTAATTAAAAAACATTGATTTTGCTCATTGACTGCTGCAAATTTTATTAAATATTAATGATAACATTTTGTCTTTTTTATACGAGTCATGAAAGTTTTATGCGCTCTCTCCCCTACAGCAGCCTTAGATTTCATGACAAAATCTTAGGCAGCTCAAAGTACAAACATAAATATTGCATTGGCCAGCTTGGTACAATATATGTGTGTACATAAGCCGATAAAAGGATGTGTGTATATTTACCCAAATGAGCGTGAGTGAGGAAAGCTGACATAAGGCAGGCGAGGAAGAAACTTATATGGTGAAAGTTTATGTTTTATTTTAACCACCAAGAAAGGTCACCCAGAAAGAAAGTCCTAGAACAAGTGCCCCCTCAGACAAGACCTCAGAACCTCTAACCACGTCTGTCCTTTTGTCAAATTCTGTATATGGAATTCAAGGCACAAAACACTGCTCCATAAACCACATGATTATACAGGTTTCAAGTCTATGGCAAGAGGTTTCACCATAAGGACAAATGTCTCCTCTTTCCTCATCCCATGTATGCAACAACAAATGAAAAATTCAATAAAAGCCACCAGGCTATGAGAGAGCCTTTAAAATTTTTGCAGTTTTTTTTTTTTTTTTTTTTTTTTTTGCTGTTGTTTTGCCTTTGTGGGTTTATTTTACATGTTTATATTAGAGTCTGCACAGCCTTGTGTTGTTATCCGTCTAGATGGACTAGAAGTCACCCTTATCTGGTTTTCTCCAAGCTTTTAATGTTTGGGATCAGCTGACAGCTGTGCGCAGTGAATCAGGCAACACCATGATTTGGAATGTTTTTCTATTACTTGGAAAATCACACTTAAAAAATTCATAAAGCACTCAGTAGAACTTCATTTCTTTGAACTTCTGCAGTAACTGATTTTTTTTCTTCCTTTGTATCTCAAAGTCATTTAGAAACAAGTGAGAAGTTAATTTCTTGAGGTCATTTCCTCAAATCACCTCCCAGGTCAGGAAGACAGCTCTGGCCTCTGCATTACACTGTCTTTCCAAAACGTAACCCATTTCCTTAGGGATACAATCATCGCAACGCAGACTTGAAAACAAAGCTGAAGTCTGATTAAGTACTTGCCAGGAAGATTCCAGTCATATTCTGCATAGTTTGCAAATACTCATGTAGGGAAAGGTGAGGGAGAGAGGAAGGGAAGGACAGGAGCTTTCCAAAGGAAATATTTCACATGGAAAACATCAAGCATTTTCTAAAATGAGTAATTAAAAGACAGAATATTATATCTTTAAGATACAAGCTTCTTTGAAATGCAAAATAGAATGTCAAATAGGCAATGGAAGATAATAGGTGTAAATCAATGTATTCAATATCATAGTTCCTATAAAAGGAGACTTAGGGACCTGAGTATATGTCTGGGTGTTTCAGCACTGTATTGGTTTGGGCTGAGTTATCAAGTTTCTGATTATGTTTGCCCTCCTCCACTACTTCCTCTCTCCTTCAGCTCCCAGTGGCCCCTGGAAAGCCCATTTCTCCCCTCACTCCTGGGTCCTTCTGCTGCTGGTGGCCTCAGGTTCTGTTATGTCCCCTGGTTCCATCCTAAAAGTCCTTCCTAGAAGTCTTTTGAAATGCTTGAGTTGGATTTCTTTCTTCTCTTACTTCCTTCTCTCCTCCTCTTCCTCCTTCCCTCTTTTCCATTCTTTTTCCCACTAGATTTCTAAAACAAGCAAAGAAGTTGCAGCTTTTACTAGGTGTCCTTTTCAGACTGTGTTATGTAAAACAACTCTAGACATCAAGTCGCAGGTGGCTTTAAAAAAGAAATTTTCTAAAGAAAGTAAGGTAGAATACATGACATGAGATTTGGCGCACAGATTTTCAGTGAATTTCGAGATATGCAAAATGCTACCCAGTTACATCAGTATCATTTCCCTTTCTGTTGTGGAATGAAGTTTCCTTTCCTAATGAGGAATGCTCAGGGAAACAGAAAAAAGCTACAAAGAAAAGAACCCTTCTTTGCAATGGCATTTGACACTGGACCCCGGGGCATGTGCTCCGTAAGTTTGACACATTTTGAAAGTACCAGTGTCCCCAGCTCAGCTTGACTGTGAACCGGGTCTACATAGCCACCTTTAGTCCTCCTAGGGAATAAATTAAATCTGCATCTTGACTGTGTTGCCTGGAAGAGACTGTTCAATTATTTATGGCGCAATAGCAGGGAGTTGCTCTTCTCTGCAAGTTGGGGGGGCGAGGGTGGGAGTGTACATTGCCTCTTGCCTACTTCAGGCCACGGCGTTAGTGAGTCCAGTAATGTCTAGAGAAAATAACAAGGCTGGAGGCAACCAAGATATATTAACGAAAAAGAGGCAGTAAATCACTTTTTACTGTTTGGAGACTGCTCAGGCCAGCGCGACTGCCACCGTGTTCTGGTGCTGCCCGGGCTGTGGCAGAAGTGCACTGATGCCTGACTGCGGAAGGCTGGGCAGGCGGCTGGTTAAAGACCACATGGATTTAAGGCTGAAGTTTGAAAATGGAAATAAGAAGAAACTCAAGAATTTGTAACCAGGGATTTTACTAATTGGAGACTTCTGCTTTCCATTTTCGGTCCTAATTCACAGACACAGTGTCATAACAGCTTCATGTTGAGAATCAGAAGACCCAACTCTTGGTCTCAGAGGGCTGACTTCTTTAAAGTTTTTGTTATTTACTAGTATTTCGGAAATCACTGAAGCACAGAGTCACTTGAGAGCCACAGTGGCGTTTCTGTGAGGGTGAGTCTTTGCAGTGGAGACTTAGCCCTTGATCCATGCAGTCCAAATTGCTTTAACATAGAAAAGAATAAATACTACTACTGTATAATTATTGAGAAGATTTAAACACATATATCCCGAGATAGGCAATACGTTTACATGTCAAGGCAAAATAATCTCAATACCTTGTGGCCTTTTTTTTTTTTAAATGCCAAATGTCCCTAAGTTTAACGTACATATCTTTTAAAGTATATTTATTAAATTCTATTACTTTCATTGAAATAATCTTTAACAAAAATGTTAAAGATGGATGTCATTCCTATTTATTTTTCTTAAGAATTCATAAAAATACATAAATATTGTGGCTTCTTGGTTAAAATGTTGTTACCCTTCTCTTATTTCTTTGCTAGTAAAGAAAGATTTTAGATTTTAAGATAGTAAATAGGGTTGAGGTCTGGCATAACGTAAGATATAGGTAATCACAATGGCAATATAATAAACCATTTAAAATTGGACATTACTTTTTTTTGAGATAGGGTCTCCCTATGTTGCTGTGACTGATCCTCATACTCCCGGGCTCAAGCAATCCTCTCAGCTTCCAGTGTAGCTGGGACCACAGAAATGCACCATTGCACTCGGGTATTTAATTTTTGTAATGACTCATGGCCAGTTTTCTAAATGATCCATTATGTTGATAAGGCATGAGGAAAGAACGTAACATGGCAGAGGGGTGCAGAGGAAGTGGACACCACATGGAAGTAAACATGGAAGAGCCCAAAGGCTGCCTATTTTGTAATTTTTCATAAAATCAGGGCTTAGAAAATGCTGTGTCTTTGTTGTCGGGACAGAGCAGAAATTCCACCCTAAAGTATACATGCAGGACATTTGCTGTTTCAATTTTTTTTTTTCTTGACATGAAGCCTTGCTCTGTCCTGCAGGCTGGAGTGCAGTGGCATGATCTCAGCTCAATGTAACCTCCACTTTCTGGGTTCAAGGGATTCGCCTGCCTCAGCCTCCTGAGTAGCTGGGATTACATTGAGGTGCGCACCACAATGCCTGGCTAATTTTTGTATTTTTAGTAGAGATGGAGTGTCATCATGTTGGCCAGGCTGGTCTTGAACTCCTGACCTCGTGATCTGACCACTTTGGCCTCCCAAAATGCTAAGATTGCAGGTGTAAGCCACTGTGCCCAACCCATTGTTTCAGTTTCTAAGGGGTATTATATAACCTAATTTCATTGGAAGTATAATAGAAATCAAATATGTGATATTTACATGGATCTTTTCTCTTCTGAGAACTCAATAGTTTTTTAGACCTATCTAATCCCTCCAATATCCAAGTTGAGTTCAGTTTTTACATCATTTTATTATTAACGAAAGTAAGGAATGGAAAAAAATGAAAGTTTTTGCTTTCTAGACAGATATAGAAATAGATATATGGAGTAGTTTGGTTTGTCCTAATATTAGCACGTGTTACTGTAATACTCTTATACATGTGTGGTACACATTAATTAGTTCTCTTGTCTAGAAAGAAAAGTGCTGGATTGGAGACACACCTACCACTGAAATTAGCATCAAAAATAAATTCTAGGAAGACCTACAAATTTGCTAGCAGTGAGCCACAAATTCTTCCCTTTCTCTACCATGTTTAAACTTTTTGTTGAACTATATAATATACATAGAAAAAAGTATACATATCACAAATGATACATCCATTGATTTCTAT